TTTATTTGTAAGCCAATTTACAGAACCAGAATGCAGCTAGTTACATTGCATAGACTGCTTTTTTTCAAACCGCTATTTCAAAGTCATCACAGTTAAATGCGATGGTTCTTATTTTCAGGTGTCCAGTGACTTCTCTCTGTCTTTTCTCATCATGAATTCCTCAAATCATAGATGCTGACTAAAAAAGCCCACAAGTTTTTCGTAACTCCCCAAGGCCAGAGCTGAATTTCTTCAGTTGGGTCCTCTCACTTTTAACTCTTAATGGCTTCATCTGATATTACACAACCCCTCAAGCTCTGTTAAAAAGCTTTGCAGGTTTCTGGCTAACCCAGAGGATCCTTTAAGGAATTCTCTATAAAGGCGTCCAGGTTCGTTTGTTTACCTTTCTCATAAATATTATAAATACTGAAGCAAAACTAACCAGAACATAACAGGCATTTAAAAATCTGGTCCGTTGATAACACCAAGGTCAAGTTTTCGGATCTCTGCGCAGCCCAGCCACCAAAACGAAACAAAAAAAGACATAAAAACCAGATCCTGAACAGTTATTTNCAGCCCAGCCACCAAAACGAAACAAAAAAAGACATAAAAACCAGATCCTGAACAGTTATTTATTATGCCTACCGTAATGAGTGCTGAATTTGCTGATTTTGTTCCCTGGCTGTTAGTGCAGGAAGGACTGCTTGGTGAAAATAGTGCTCATTTGCATTGCTATCTAATGTAGACCTCCAAGAATTTCTGGACTAATTAACATTATCGGCCGCACTTAACACTTGCTTGGGGATCCTTCATTTAATTTTGTTTCTATAAAGACCACATCTGGCTACTGAGTACGAACTTGTTACACAGTTTGACTTATTAAGTAAAATAAATACATCCAGTGTAAACTATCCTAGCTACTAGAGATTTGTCAAATGTACATGCTCTCAGAGGGGAGACCAAAAAGAGGAAAAAAAAAAAAGTAGAGATGTCAAATGTTGCAACGGTCTGTACTCCCAAGTAAATCACATTCCTTTTAAGGGTATTAACACGTAAAATTATCAAAGTACTACATTTATATGCCGTAGAAGATTTATATATACATGTATAAGATTGTGTAAGCAAAGACAATTTAGTGACATTGGTTATTTAAAGGAAGCTGGGAAATGTTTCCCAGAGATATTACATTTAAATCTGAGTGTTTCAATAAAATTATGATTTTTTTTCCAGGTAAAAAGTGGAAGTTGGGCATGTGTTGGTGGACGGAAACTAAGTCACACATAAGGAACAGACTTGAAAAAGTTTGGCTGGTTTGAGAAGCTATGGCCATAGCTTTGGTGCTGAGATGGAAATGTAAAATTAATGCAAAAAGATTGACACAGACTGGAAATTAGGTTTTGATGTATTTCCTGCCAGAAATAACACAAAGTAAACTGTTATGTTTTGAGAACAAGCACTGTATTTTGTTACTTTTGTCTCCTTAGCATCAACTTTACATACCTTATAGGAGCACTCTGAAATTCCAGGGGGAAGTCCTCATTCCCCCAGTCCTAGTCCAGATGGTTTGGATGCAGCTGAAGTCACTGCCATGGCTAAAGGAATGGTCGCATGACCTAGCCATGCCCAATCAGCTATCTCAAATGGTAATTGGCTTAAGAATGAGCATGTGACCAAAAACAGTCCAATGAAGAGCTAAATATGAGATATTAGGTGGAACTACTGAAAAACAGAAATTACTTTCTGTTGCCGTTGCTGAGCTGGTGGGATACAAACCTAAAGAATGCTTGTGGAAATCTTGCTTACCCAGTAATTAGGAAAACCGACATAAAGAGACAGAGGTAAACGAATTCAGAGAAAAAGATAATGCAGAAAAACTTTGAAACATTCCTGAAGCTAAACGTGCCTTAGGTTTTTAGATTTGTAGGCCAATATATTCCCTTTCTTAATAAGGTGAGCTTGTGAAGGATTTCTGTCACTTACAAGGAAGGACCCTAATAGTTGCAAGAGGAGAGTCATATGATCACTGATTTAACCAGATGTCAAAAAGTCATTTTTAACAAATTTGTCAGGTAAAGCTTATTTGCTGTTGTCCATTCTATAAAGTCACCATGTTTATACAAGTTAGACTATAATTGGGCTTAGTTTTGTAGGAAAAAAATCAGAAAAGAGCACGGATTATTTTTTTCTGTCAATCACTTGTTTACCAGGTATTTGTTAGGCACTGAAATTGAGTATAACGATGCTGAAAGAAATTAAAAAACCTTTTTCATCTGATTATGAACAAAATATGGTCATAACATATAATTTTAGTTCTGCTAAATCCATTTCCTAGCTCTTTGTACCAAGAGGTCCTTTCAACATGTTCCTATTTTTGCATTTTTTTTTCTATATTATAAAATTTATTCTGAAGCCTTAGCCCGATGATACTCATTTAGTTCTCGAATGTAAAGAAAATATCTTGATATAAGGGACCACAAAACTTCTGGTTTATATTAAGAAAGAAAATGGTCCTGGTGGAAATTAGCGTGTCTGTCACTGACAGCTCAATAGGAAATGAGATAATGTTATAAAACCAATCTGCTCCCTGGTGGGATTTTTAAGGTGATTAAGTTTAGCAAAGTTTTAGTTAGTGTAAGAAGATGTGTGAGCATGTATTTGCATGTGTTTGGTGTATGTTTTTAAAGAGTTTAAACAGATGTTTGGTAAAATTAATAATCACTGCCTTTAATGTATTTTCTGGCTACTAGTAATAGAAATTTCACTTAAGGTTTGAATGTTCTTCACAATGAGAATGTACTTCATTTCAAACTTTGAGGCCTTATAACATTACTGCTATTATCTATTTAAACGTCTTCTTCTGAAATTTGTTCCCAAGCACCACAAATGATGTTCCTAACATCACTTCAATTCAATGTATGAAAGGGCAATGTGTGAGGTCCTTCAATATGTAGGAAATATGGCTGAGTTGAGAACTGTAAGACCCAAGCTGTAGTCTACCAGTAATTGTCCAATCACTCAATCTCTACAGATTTCAGTTTCATAAACTCTAATATGAGAAGGTTGTACGTATTTGTTAAAGTTTGATTTAGGTCAATTGCTCAGAAACAGGGAGTTGGGTGGTGTGGATTGAAAATAATGCCTGAGCCAGGGTGCTGAATCGACAACCATAAAGTAAAGCAGAAAGGTTGAGTGGGGCTAAGAGTTAGTGCCAGCTGATGCTGAGCAACAAGAGAAACAAGGGAATCAGAGCTGGCCTAACCTCCAAAGTCAAGCTAGGATCAACCATATTCCAGAACATTAATTCAAAGGTAGTACATTGAAATGGTGCATTGAGTTGTAGAAGGCAACTCAAGAAGATTCAGAGCTGAGCTAGAAGGTCATGACAAGCGTGGGGAACAAAGCTGTCAGGCGGCTGCAAATTTATCAAGTAGACCCTTTGTAGCTTGCTAAATTAAAATATTTACTCCTTAGGTCTTTGAAGGTTGGTGCTCTGTTGTCTTGAGAATTTATTTTTTGTAATAAAACATTTGAGATGGATGACCTCGATGTTTTTTGTTTCACAATGTTATGAATGAGACTATAATCACATCGAACTTTTAATTTTTATTTTTTTTAACATAGCAGGAGATATGAAAAATGTTTAAAACTTCAGAAAGTGGTTATAATACAGAATAAGCATAAGAGAAAAAAAACACTCAGGGCATGCTATCAGTACATATTAAGTTACAAATCATTTGCTTTCTTAACATTTTACATATTTAAGTTCATAAATGAGGATGATGAAATTTACCATTTTGGGGGTGAGAAGAAAAAATAAGGGCATATTTATCATCCGCTAGATGTGTTCACTGTATGATTTGCAAGACATATGCAAGCTCTGGGTGAAGGGAAGTGCAGCTGTCGGACATGTTAGTAAACTGGAAAGCCATCTGTTTCTGTACAGCGTGCCATCTTTACATAGGAGCGACCAGGAGAAAACATAAATTAGCCAAGCACTCTGCACTACAAATCATTTCCTTAACAGCCAACCAGCCTTACTCACCTGCTATACTACTGTGTCTGGTGTATGATAAGAAAACTAATATTCCAATTACAATATGGTGAAAGGAGATGCACAGACATTTTGCAAAGTAACACACAGAAATGAGCAACAGGTATATGAAAAAATGCTCAACATCACTAATCATCAGGGAAATGAGAATCAAAAACACATTGAGATATCACTTCACCACAGTTAAATATACTATTATATATACATATTTTATATATATATACATATAAACAGAATAACAAATGCTGGCATGGTTGAGGAGAAAGGGGAACACTTCTAAACTGTTGGTGGGATTGTAAATTAGTACAGTCATTATGGAAGTCAGTATGGATGTTTTTCAGATAACTACCGATAAAACTATCTTATGGTGCAGCAATACCACTCCTGGGAAATGGAACTCAACATGTCGTAGAGAAACCTGCACTACCATGATTATCACAGCTCTATTTCAATACCCAAAATTCTTCCATTCAGAGCAGTACAAATGAGCTTGGAGAAAATTATGTCAGGTGAAACAAGCCAGGCAGAGAAAGAGAAATACTGCATATCCCTTACAATACTCACAATTGGGAGGAGAGAGAGAGAGAGAGAAAGAGAGAGGGGGGGAGAGGGAGGGAGGGAGAGAGAGTGAGAGGGAGAGAAGGAAGTAAAGAAGAAACTTGAAAAAAGAAGGAAGGGAAGAAGGAGAGAGAAAAGAGAGAGAGAAAGAGAAGGAAGGGAGGAAGAAAGAAAGAATGTAAGAAGGAAGGAAGAAAGGAGAGAAAGAAAAGGTAAAAAAGAGAAAAGAAAGAAATATAATCATCAGAGTAATACATTGAACTTTCAGAAGGAGAGAACAGAACTGTGGTTACTAGACTTGGGAAATGGTGACAGGGGTGGGGTGTTAGTGAGGAATTGATTAATGGACAAAAGGAATGATTACATTTTGTAATGACACGAATTTTAATTATCCTGATTTGGTCATCACACATTGTATACGGGTATTGATATTCAACTCTGTACCACACAAATATGTATGATGAATTATTAAAAAGGAAAGAAAGAATCTGTCTACATTTCTCTTTCCTCCACTTCTATTTGTTAAAGGGTTGTCAGTCACTGAAGGACCCTTCAAATAATGCCTTCTCCTGTAAAAATCCATTTGCAGCTTTAGAAGGCAAAATAAGTTATTTTTATCATCTGCCCATCCATAGAAACTTGAAATGTTTCTATAGCCCTGATTCCATTATAATTTGTGGTAGAGTCTTTTTATACACACTTTTTAAATATGCTATTCTATGAACTCTTCAAAGGCAAGATTTCTTACTGTTCTATTTGTACATTAAGATCATACTTAGCGTAGATCTTGGCATATCAAAATTTTGCTGAATCCAAGTGAGTAAGTTCTCTGCCTCAAAATGCTATGCAGTTTTTGTGTCCCATACAGAATTCTAAAATATCATTCAATATTGATTATGGGGTATTTAAATTTTCTATCCATTAATCTTTCTACTGGGCCATTAAAACTATATCTCGTCTTCTAATTAGAGGACCAAGTAACTTGAACAAACCTGGCTTTTCATTCTTCACTATGGCTGCAGAAACACCATCAGTTACAATCTAGATTACATTGATTTACTGCATAACAAATGGAGATTCGTCAACAAGTCAAAACTGTATAATTTTCTCAGTACTCATGTTATGCCACAATATTTCTTGAATTGCAATGAATTCACTGAGTAAAGTGTAAAATAACGCCTTTTTCCTCCTAGGAGATTTAATTGATCATATCTACTTTTATTTTGGTTAATGTTAATTCTTATCATGGAAAACTAAAATTTCCAAGGAATGAGTTGCATTAATAAGTATTGATTTTTCACTGATTTGATAAGTAAGGAATATGAAACGTGGTTTGAGCAATGTTATGAGAATACATAGGCATTTAAAGATTTTTGACAGAGCTATTTAGAAATCTAAAATTGAAAACAGATGAGGTCTGGGCCCGATGGTAAACAGCCCTTAGATTTAACATGAGATAGAGTAGGATCCATTTTCCTTTTCTCTTCAAATGGTAAGGGGCAATTTGAGTATTATTCTTGCACAATCTATATAGACTTCTTCTGATCTCTACATTTTGTTTCTGTGGTAAGGTCTGACTTAATTCAAATCTATGTGATATTTGGTGATAGGTTTTTTAAAATAGTTGTTGTTCCCAGCACCATTTGCTGAAGAGGCAGTTACTTCCGCAGTGCATAGATTTGGTGCCTTTGTCAAAGTTCAGATGAATGTAGGTGTATGGGTTGATTTCTGGATTCTCTATTCTGTTCCATCGGTCCATGTGCCTATTTTTATGCTAGTACTATGCTGTTTTGGTTACTATAGCTTTTCACTATAGTTTAAAGTCAGGTAATGTTATGCCTCCAGCTTTATTTATTTATTTTTTTTTGCTCAGGATTGCTTTGGTTATTCTTGGTCTTTTGTGATTCCATACATTGTTTGTTTTGGTTTCTTTAGTTTCTTCCATCTATTAGGAAATATTGACAAAGAATTATGACAAGGAATGTATGTAGACACACAGAGACAGAAGAAAAATAGAAAACAGGAAAATCTCTAAGATCTTTCTAATATTTTTCTAAAGTAAATTATCCCCATTCTAACCATGAACAACTTCATCAGATAAGACAGAGTACTTCTGGGCTGGCCCGGTGGAGAACTGCTGCAGTGTGCTGCTTGGGAGTGTGGTGGCGCTCCCACTGAGGGTTCGGATGCCACATACAGACAGGTTCCCGCTCACTGGCTGTGCGAGGTGTGGGTGCGACACCGAGGGTTGCGATCCCGTTGCCGGTCCCGGTCCAGTACTGGCGTGACACTGAGGGTTGCGATCCGTTGCCGGACACGAAAAAAGACAAAAAAAAAAAAAAAAAAAAAAAAGACAGAGTACTTCTTCAAGATGAGATCATATTTTTGTTGTCATTGTTGTTGCTTTTCCTAATTCAATGAATTATGATAAAAATTTTACACTTACATTCCTAGTATTGCATTTCTAAAATTGGTACATTTTATTACTTATGTTAGAGATTTTAAAAATGTTTAAAATTGTAATTTATAAATCAGTTAGTTGAAAGTGTTAATAACACATGCTACATATGTAAAACATAAAAAAAAATTAGTTAATTTTCTAAAGAATTTCCAGTAAAATATGCTTAGCGAACTAGTAAGTTCTACTGTTTTTCTTTGTATCTGTAAGTGTATATGTATCTACATGTTTGTGACAAGAGAACTGGAAGTGATGCAATACTTGAACCACTAGCATCTAATTTGAGGAAAACATGGCTTGTTGCCTCTGCTACCCTCAAATATCCTAGATTGCTCTGACAGATTTATCTGATTAGGTGCTGCTGTTCTTTTTCTTTGTACTGCTTCACTTTTGTTCTTTCTGAAGCAAACATCACTTACAGGATTAACATTACATCCAATCATGCAATTAAAATAAAATTAACATCAAGGCAGAGTTCTACTTGTTTTACCATTAGTCAGTCACACAAATCTTATTGCTCTGTATCTTTATTTATTAATCAATTTAGTAAACAAATATCTTTTCTATCCTTTTGTCTCATGTAATGTATGTTACTGTCATTAAACTGGGATTAGCCTCATGATTTTCTTTGTTAAATACAGGCAACAAATGAGAGAAAATTTCTATAACAGCAGTATATAAGTCTATTCCAGTGTCTTTGATCTTGAAGTAAGAAGAGAATATTTGCTGAGAGACAGCATAACTAGTAATCCTCAGTTAAAATTTGAGACACCAAACACTGTCACTTTAGAAAGTGAACAGGAGGACTCAGAAATACATTTTCACATTCTGAGCAGGCAGATGTGAGAAACTTTGTCACAACCATCAGAATTCCTGTACATCGAATTTTAAATCCTACTGTACATGGAATTTTAAATCCTGGTTTAAAGGATAGAATATCTGCTGCAACTCAGAGCACATTATGGCAAATAATGACAGGATTTGATGAGTCAAGTAACCTTTCGGGCAGTGATAATGATTTAGAGCCTACTTGCTCACCCCCAAGTCAGAACATGGAAAGGACAGAGTCACAGAATTGAAAAGACGGTTCCAATGGCAGTAGGAGTTCTGGTCCCAATTCAAATCCTAGCTGCGGACCCCATTCAAGTTCCTCACCAATTTCCAGTTCAAGATCCAGGTATATGTCTAGTTCCAGTTCTAGTCCTATGTCCAGTTCCAGCTCCAGTAGTGAATATTCAGAAATTAGCTTATTAATGTTTGAAAGCATAAGTGAAGAAAGCTCATCGTTAGACTCACCATCAGAGGCCAGGCAAGAAATGCAACATAGGACCTTTGATGAAGATGACTCTTGGCCCTTCCCTAATCTTGTTCAGTTTTTCATCTTAAATGAAGATGATCACGACAAACCTACAGGACTCAACATAGCACAGATTGAGAACTTGGCAGTAAGAACTTTTGGCCAAATTGATTCATTAACAACCTGTTCTGTTTGCATTACAGAATACACAGAAGGGAACAAGCTTCGCACACTACCTTGTTCCCATGTATATCAGGCCCACTGCATTGATCGCTGGCTGCCTGAGGACTCTACCTGTCCTATTTGTTGCTGTAAAGAGATAGACTCTAGTTACAGAGAAAATTCTAGCTGAGATGTGAACTCTCATCTACAAAAACTACTATACTGACAGACAAATAACTGTCATTTGCCTTATGTCCACTTTTGAAATGACACATATATAAAATATCAACCTTAATTGTCGGTTCCTGAAGAATGATTGTACTTTCTCCAATTTGTTTCAGAATAAAAGCAAATATTAAAAAGCCAAAAGAAAAAGTGTCCTATCTGACAACAAAGACCAATTCTACACTGTGGCAGGTCACTGAACTTCCATATTCTACACTGTGGTAGGTCACTGAACTTCCACAGAAACTTAGCAGGTATGCTGAGTAAAAAGGGGGACTAGAAAATAACTTTACCCCACAGGAGCCAAGAGGACATGATCTGAGTATGTGTGACTTTCTCGGTCACCGTTTTAAAGGAAATTGCTTGCTCTCCACTTCCTCTTCCCCCCTTCCTACGGGCTTCAATTCTGATTTGTTGCTAGTAAGTTGGTTTAGGATTGATCTCAGGAATGGTGAAACAATAAATTGGAAAGAAAGAAACTGTGTGCCTGAGCAACTTTGTCTCTGCGTGCTTCCTCTAGACCATCAATATAAGAGAGAACTAAAACTGCTATCTAGGGAGTAATTGGGCAAGGGACACAAAGAATATTACTGTTATTAAGATGAACATGCTAATAATATTGATTTGATCAGCACATACTGTACATAAATACTCATAGTCAATTCTTTACCCCATAAATATGTGTAATCAAAATGAATAAATCAGAAAAAGATAATACAAATCTTTTTTTTTTTTTTCCTTTTTGTCTCTTTTTTTGTGACCGGCAATGGATCGCAACCCTCAGTGTCACACCCGTACTGGACCAGGACCGGCAACGGGATCGCAACCCTCGGTGTTGCCCCCGCACCTCGCTCAGCCAGTGAGCGGCCGGTCTTTATGTGGGATCTGAACCCTCGGCAGGAGTGCCGCTGCGCTTCCCAAGCGGCGCACTGTATCAGTGCGCCACCGGGCCGGCCCCAATAATACAAATCTTTTAATGAACTTTTTGAAGTACCCTCGTATGTTTTTCCTCTTGTAGTTGCAATCTTTGTAGATAAACTGATGAACTGAAATATATACATTGATTTAATTAACATATGTATCCATCAGTAGTAATTTAGGAATTCACTTTCATAATTTGGAGAACTGTACACCTTGATTCATTTATAAACTATTTTTTTCTAATATTAGAGATTATTAATGTGGGGGAGAAAAAATTAAGGGGGGAAGCCTGCATACGGAAAATTGCATTTTTCTCTACAGCATAGTTGAGAAATACATTTGATTCAGAGCCAAAATGGTGATTCAGGGGTAACTAAAAGCACTGATATTTGATAAAAACCTGGCGAAATAGAGTAGCAATTTTAGATAGATTATTTTGAATATGGAACAGACATTTCCAGTTATGATTGCAATTTTTAGTCCTTGATGGTTATTTAAGATCTGAGGAATGCTAGGCAATATTTCAATAGCAGCATGAACAAAAAATAACATCCTTTGCCTCCAGAAGCTGCTCTCAGCATAGATTTCCCCTTCTGCTCCAGGCCAGGGACTTTGTCACACACACAGGCAGTCAAAGTGAAGAGTTTTGGCCTTCAATAATTCTTCTCAGTAGTTCCCTTCTCTTCAATTTCCAGTTTCAACAGGCTCTACCTTCTCAAATCAGCTGACTTTGGCCTCACCTTCCTTCTCCAAACCACCAGGTACTTGCTCTACAACAAGTCCTCAATCCATGTTCTATGAAGAAATGCTAGGTTTTGTCTTTGCACTCAATCCCTCTTCTGGCACATACAATTACATGCTGTTTAAATTCATATTACTACTAATCGTTTCAAAGAATCAGCACTCTTCTGGCAAGAGAAAATCAAAGGATAGCATTACTAATAGAGAAAAGAGTCATAGGGCCTAAGCATTGGCAGATTATTAATGAACCTGACATTATGGGTTGTTTGTCATGTAAGAAATCATAACTTAGGAGCACAGTCTGCATAAGCAAAAGTGAAATGTTAATAATTTTTACACCTAAAGTATATACCCACTGGCTGGCTAGCTCAGTTGGTTAGAGAATGGTCCAGAGTTCTATCCCTGTTCCGGTCAGCCATACAAACACACGCACAAAATACATAAATGTGGGGCCGGCCCAGTGGCGCACTGCTACAGTGCGCCGCTTGGGAGCGCGGCACTCCCACCAAGGGTTCGGATCCCACATACAGTCCGGCTGCTCACTGGCTGAGTGGGGTGTAGGTGCAACACCGAGGGTTGCGATCCCGTTGCCGGTCCCGATCCAGTACGGGCGCGACACTGAGGGTTGCGATCCATTGCTGGTCATGAAAAAAGACAAAAAAAAAGGAAAAAAAAATACATAAATGTGTGTGTGTGTGTATTTGTGTGTGTGTGTGTGTGTGTGCACGTGTATTTCCCAGCCCATTAATTAAGATTAAAATAAATGAGGCTTAAAATCATTTTGGCAGAAAGCTACTACAAGTCAGATATTTCCTAGAAATTTGAAACCCCCTGAGTAGGTTTATCCAACCTCCAACATTCAGAGATATATCTGGAAAATGGCAAAAGACTTTAAGTAAATAAATCAAAAGGACATTGCTTTTTAAAAATTTTTCACATGTGAGCAGGATTTGAAGAATGAAAAGCTCAGAAGGAAGGTAGTAAATGTGAATAACACATAGGAAATATTTTACAGAGCTTTTACTTTTGTAAATTCTGTTTTTCACTGAGTTTTAACATTGGCTGGTTGAGGTCTTTACTATATTTTTATAAAAGAAGAAATCAGCAAATAAAGCATTGAGAGTGTGGAAGAAAAGTTTTGAAATTTAAAAAATGAAAGAACATTACTAGTGTCAAGTTTTGAAGAATAAGGATAACACTGAATATAAGCTTACACTGTTAACATGCGGATTACATTGTGGTAAAGAGTGGAATCATAATGAATATTTTATAAGACTCATGCTTTTTCCCTAGCATGTTTCAAAAAAGTTACACTTGATTTTCGTGAAACACAATTATATAGCTTCAACCAAGAATTTCTATCTTTAGGTTAATTAACATAATTCCATTAAATCTACTTTCCCTAAATATTATTGCTATGTAGGAAAAGGTATAAGAACTTCTGTAGCAATTTCAGTATCTGTAACAATAGAGGTAAAAACATCAAAAAATAGTATTGAATACACACGAACATTTCAAAGTATATTAGTATATATTATATTGATTATCAACCTATTAGCAATTAATTTTATATTGGTAACATACATATACACACACACATGATATGTAACCAATTAGCAATTAATTTTAAATTGGTAACATACATCTACACACTCACATGATATGTTTATATCACATTTTATTGGTGAACAAAGTAAACTGAGACAAACTCTTGGACCCATGAGACCATGATATTAAAGTCAAGGTCTACTGCAATCATTCAACATTTAGCACAAAGCCTGACATGCACTAGATCTTCAAGAAATAGTTATTGAATATATGGTGTATTCATGCAATTCCAGTTTAGAGTTCTCTGTATTTGAGTATATCCATAGAGCTGTTCTTGTGTTTGCATCTAAATAAAAAATTACTACAAGCATTTTCAGGATTATCTTGATCTCTTTACAGCTTAATAAAGCCACACAAATACAGAGTCCACATTTGCAAGCGTGTTTGTGAATCTTGTTGAGTGTGACTGCTGCTAGATGGCATGTCCTAGTGTAAAAATGACAACTGTCCCCTGTCCACTCTTATAGTCATGTTGAGTTATTTTACCAGATCCAAACACTAAAAGGACTCTTATAGTCATGTTGACTTATTTTACCAGATGCAAAGACTAAAAGGAAAACTAAAATTTCCTTCTACAGTTGTGATTAGGAAATGAAAAATAACTTAATAAAAGAAAATTTCAGCACTTTCACTTATTGAGACTCTTAATGGTAATTCATGAAAACAACCAACTGCATCAGAATAAAGTACCACTTTTCACTTTTTACTTAAGTTAATAAAAAAAGAATGTGGATGGCCCATATTTAAAGGATGGCTTTTACTACCTGAATGGAAATTATGAATCATTGTATAAACTAAAGTGTGCCAATCGTTTCAGCAAAGAAGGGTGGTCAAGAATTGAGATGCGCCATGTGTTTAGGGATATATAGGCATGGCATGCTCAAAATAAAACTTGCACCACTACAACTAGATCTATTTTCAGTGAGAAGTGATTGTGTTTAAGACAAAAAGCATAATCTGAAGCATAATTGGAACTTCTTAATTTTATTAGTGTTACTGTTTTATTTGTAATATCTGCAAAATTTTTAGTTTTATAGGTATTAAAAACATACAATTAAGCATACAGATTTTATAACTAGCTTTATGTTTGTGCATAATTAAGTATAATTATAATAACAATTTGTCACTACTGTGTTTCATTGATTTTTTTTTTCCAAAAGAAACGCTGTTCAAATACTTATGCATACTCAACATCCAACCCCACTCATGGTTTTAATTTAGAGAAATGATGAGACTAAAATTTGTAATAGGTCCCTAAAGTATTTAATTCATATTTTAGAGCACCTACTATGTAGAATTTATCATTGAACAAATTAAACACAATGTTTGTCCTAAAGGAGCTCATGGTCCTGCCAAACTTTGAAAACTACCTAGGGAAGAATCCAGCTAAGAGTATTACTCTCTGCAATTTACAAGTTATGTGCTTGAAAAATGTGAATTCAATGTAAATTTCCATCAACAGATTAATAGAAGTAAAAAATGTGATATACACATACCATGGAATATTATTCAGCCTTAAAAAAGAAGGGAATCCTGCAATATGTGACAACATAGATGAACCTTGAGCACATTATGCTAAGTGAAATAAGCCAGTCACAGAAAGACAAATAATTCATGGTTCCACTTATGAGGTATCTAAAACAGTCACGTTCATAGAATCAAGAAGTGAAATGGTGGTTGCCAAGGGCTAGTGGG